CAAACAGCTATTGATGAGATGGCAGGACATGACAGGCAAAACCTATTACGCTACAAGGAGAAAGACAATAGCGGTAGGGTCCCTCTGGTAACCACATACCATCCCGTCCTTAAGAACCTTAGCGGTATCCTTCAAAAGAACCTACCAATTCTCCATTCAAACAAACGAATGGCAGAGGTCTTTAAGGAACCCCCATTGGCTGCATACAGACGCCCAAGGAACCTGAAGGACATGGTAGTAAGAACCAGACTGGACAACCCATTACCTAACGGGGGCTTTAAAACTTGCTCTGACAGAAGATGTCTTCTTTGTAAGCACAGTACTGACACAGACAGTTTTAACAGCCCCGTTACAGGCCGCAGCTACAAAATACTAGGGAATTTGTCCTGTCATACTGACAACTGCATTTATCTCATCAGTTGCAAAGTTTGCTCCAAACAGTATATTGGTGAAACAGGAGATCTCCGCAGGAGAGTCAATAACCACCGTTCGACCATTAGGACCAAAAAACTCAATGAACCCGTTGGGGAACATTTCAACCTTGAGGGTCACAAATGGGAGGATATGACAGTAGTGGTGATTGACCATAACCCAAGATGGACAGATGCTCAGAGAAAAAGCAAAGAAAAGTTCTGGATGCACAGATTGAAGTCATTCCGCCCTAATGGTATTAACAAACTAAATGACTTCACCAGAATGAACGTAAACTAGACCCAATTCCTGACGATACTAAACAAGATTATTCTCTCAATTTAGTGTAAACTCTACAGTCAATTTGCGTCACCAACTCTCGAACAACCCACATAGCTATGTATTGCTTTCGCCTTTGTTAATTATTTTTTCCCGGTATTAAGTCTTTAAATATTTCAAAATTTATAATGGATCATAATTCATATGTTTAAATATCCCTGCCATCTTATTTTTCTTTGATTATTCTTTATTAAGTAAAGTTACGCCATTTTGAGAGAATGAAACAATGTACGATTTACTGATTGTCGTAATTAATTAGCATAATTAATTCGTTCAATTATGTAAATCGCACTTCACCCGAGTATACCCGATATACCGGACGCATTTCATAGCGGTCCGGATTTCTTTATTATTGTTCTTAAAAATTTCGAATTCAACATGTAATTTATTAAGTATGTAAATATCTAGTGTTTAGTAGCTTAGTAGTAGTGCTAGTTGTTTTTGTTTCTATTTTTCCTTTGTTCTTATGACTTTTTAACTTTTTTTCTTTGTCCTGAGGAAGGGACAGGGCGTCCCGAAAATTTGACAATTTTTATTGTTCGTGTCGTTGGTCATTTTTAGTGCTTTATATAAATTTCCATCCGTGACCTTGTATCTACTTGATAGATCCGACATTTAGGATATACAGTGTTGTTGGTATTTTAGTGCTTTATATATATATATATATATATATATATATATATATATATATATATATATATATATATATATATATATATATATATATATATATATATATATATATATATATATATATATATATATATATATATATATATATATATATATATATATATATATATATATATATATATATATATATATATATATATATATATATATATATATATATATATATATATATATATATATATATATATATATTCCAACCCATGTTATACCAGTACAACTTGAGTAGCTATTAGATTCAAAGCCACAATTTTTCTATATAATGGATTTAAATTGAGCATTCTACATACGTAAGGTCGAACGGAGTAATATATTTTGATGAAGGCTAGTTATGTACAATATGAACTAAATCTTTATGACTAAATCTTTTATCTAATTAAATGACGTGTTACAACGAAATTTGAATTATTCAAATAGATCGATGATGTTTTATTAATTTCAATAGTTATCTAATTTTTTTTACCTTTTACATTTATAATCTCTCAATTTGAAGATCAATGTGTTTACATTATAAAATATCTACGAAGGTTATACAAAGAAGACAGTCCGGTGATGTGAGCTTTGAACGAAATTGGGAAGAATATAAGATGGGCTTTGGAGATGTTTCTACAAGCTACTGGATTGGTAAAAAAATTAAATCAATAATAAATCAGACAGCTACCATGAACAAAAATAGCAATTTATGTTCAAAGAATATAAATGCAATTTTGTATGTACAAAAACGCGGACAATATTACTCTTATCATTTGCCAATTTAAGTATCTTTAAACGTTGTACGATTTCAATCTCAATGAAAATTTCGTGTCTTAGAATTGTTGTAATTTAACATAAGCTATCCGGATGCAGAAAACAAAACAAAACAAATATTAAAAAAAAAAAAAAAAAAAAAAAAAAAGAAACCTGGCATGGGGAGATTTAATGCATTTAGTGGCTGATTTTTTATCCCAAAAAGACTCTCAGAGAAAAAAGTAAAAAAAAAGTTGTTTAAATCTAGTTTTATCGGTTGAGCGCAGTAAAAGTGTGCCTTTATTCTACGCGCTTCGTTTTTAACTCATTGAAGTATCTTAAATTGTCAGACATACGAGAAAACTAATGTAAAAAAAACAGATAGAAAACTAGGGTAAAATGCATCACAAACTTTGTTGGCAGAGAAGTCCTTCCCAGAACGATTTGATCTAATTAAAGATGCATAAAAAAATTATTTGGTCTTATTATAGATGAATAAAAATGCCTTTTTTTACAATTGATAAATATAGCACACATTTAAACTTTAAATTTGACGTGTTGGATGCAAAGAATCGTCAAAGACAGTTTCTTTGAAAATTTGATTACGTTATTCGTACATTTTCACTTATTTTTCATCGTCAATATTATTCATTAAATAATAAAATTCATTGTTTGAAATTAACAACTTCTCGACCAAAATATTTCATTTTACAGGAAATGACATCATACACCAATTAACAAAAGAAAGAAGTAGTTCTCTGTACATGGAAATTACTCTCTTCAACGAAACAGTCCTATATATAAAATATGAATTTTTCTTTATCACCGATGAAAAGACTGATTATAGACTGAATATTAGTGGAAAAGCAAATGGAACTTTGGGTTTGTAATATATTTCTTCATCTGAAATACAACCACATTTAGATGACAATTTTCAATGTGCATGGTTAATTTCATTTTCTTCGAACAACTTTGGTTTATGTAACTTGAATAAGAAAACATATTTCGTCACCCGCCACATTTCCATTCGATTGCCATAATCCAAAGCTGAAATGATTTATACTGCTGGACTCCATGTAAACTAAAATAATTTTAGGTTTATTTCACAAAAGAGTTGGAATTTATACAAACAAAAAGTTTCAAAATGATTTATTGTCAATTAAAAAAAACCCACTTCAACTCAGAAAAAATGTCTTTTTCCTGTTGTTTATAAAGTGAGGCATTTTCCCACTCATATGAATGTTTACATTCTTAAATTTCTTAAACGTTTAAATTACCTTTTCATTTATTTTTAGGCATAAATTCTGTTAGAGTGCATCAAAGTAATCATAAATGTTATTAAGACTAAGATGAGAATTACAAGAAATACATGTTTTTTAAAATCAGTACTCTGAACGTTCAGAATACGCCACCATTTTATCATAAAATGTTAGGTGAAGTCACAAAATGCTGAATAAGACACTACTCTATGTTGTCGTTGAAGAATGTATTATCAACGGTATGCAATGTAGCAACCTCTAATGATAAAACGCCGCTTAATGATACAAATAGCATTAAGCGTTGCAATTGCAACTCTAAATGCCATAAATCATTGCATTAATAGCTGACATTATCAACCGCTAATGCTAAATCGCCGCTTAATGACAGAATTATATCATTAAGCGTCACAAATGCAGTGCAACATCGACGCTTAATGAAACATGCAAATATCTACATATTCGACGCTTAATGATACACACTTGTGTATCATTAAGCGTTGCAGTTGCCACCCTTAGTGATATAAAATTAATATCTAAGAGAAACACACATCCACCTTTCCTTAACAATGAGATATCACTTGTCAAAATATTTATGCATGCCCTTGTGCTATAAAAATGGTAATTATTGAAGTTTTACTGTGTTTTCTATCTAATCAAGGGAACGTCTTTAAGCCCCGGATGTTTAAGAGACAGACAGTCAGATAGCTGGAAGAAAGAGATACAAACAAAGGAATATATAAAATGATATTCAAATCCTTTAAAAGAACCATTTTTTAACCTAAAAATACAGAGGGAAATTTGATACAATTATTTTAATACTCAACCTGAAATATGTTATTATATTTGAATATTTTTATCGAAACTTTGTATTTTAGATTTGAAACAGCTTAACACATATCACTGTCAACGTTTCAGATATACGTATCGAGTTTTTTACAATTGTATTTTTAATCTGCTTACATTCTCCAAATTCCGAGAAAGTGAGACATCAATATTGAAAACTTATGTTTAAGGATATATAGAAAAGAATACAAGTACATGTAATACATAGAATAATATATATTGTGTTGAGAAAAGGGTTCATAATTTGTGCTTTAATTGTGAGCAGTGTTACTTGAATACATCACTGTTGCATGATTATTTTGTAATCAAATTTAAATTCTAGCATATATCAAATTACAATATACATATTGACTGAGGTTGAATAGGCTGGGTTTTTTTTAAATTCTAAATGACGCATATTTCATTTGTAGTATATTTTTTTTCTTTCGATATATAAGACTAAGTTTACATCTGACTAATATTAAAATGAAATGGATTTAAAGGAATAGTTCTTTTTTCGGTAAAAGAGAGGCCCTCTCTATTAATACTAGTATTCATCAGAAGTATTTCGTTCACAGCGAATGGGTATTGAAAGGTCACATGAAAGGTCCGACTATGCTTTACTTGCATTGGTTTATACTTTAATGAGCTACAAAATATTCTGATGACTTTAACTTTTCTATTGTCAACTTTCCTTACTTATGCAGCAATATACCTTCATCACCTGCATACGGAGTATATATATCTCAGTTGATTCGATATGCATGAGCATGCTCTACTTATGAACAATTTCTAAAACGAGGTAAATTATTGACAAGCAAGTTGATGAAACAAGAATACCAACAGTCTCGTTTAAAGTCATCATTTTGTAAGTTCTTTGGTCGATACAATGACCTTGTCAGCAAATACAATTTAACATTGAGTCAAATGCTGACTGACGTTTTTCTTACCAATTGTTAGTCCATTATTTATACACTGAATTGACAACCGATTTTCCCGTTATTTCCTAATCATGACAAAGAGCACGGCGGGTGTGACCGGTCGGCAGGGGATGCTCACGCCTCCATGGCACCTGATCCCAACTCTGATGTTTGCTCTCCTCTAATTTTGTATTGTTTTATGGACTTTGAGATTGAATACTTTTCGTTATCTCCATATCTTTAAGGCAACTACGGCCAGAATGGGAGAGGATCGTAAATTTTGACCGTGGTTTGCGACGTTACAAAGTTTTAACTATAGCAAATCAAAGTTCCAAAGTTTTTATTTTGCTTCTCTTGTTAATAATTTTAAACTATAGTAAACTATATTGTTTTCTATAGTTTTTTTGTTAGGGACATGTCCGCTATTTAACGTCAGCCGTGAGTGAAAAAAAAACTGTCTAAATTTCAGACTTATAAGCAGAACCAACTAACAGGCGAGTATAAATGGTATAGGTATACCGAAATAGATCAGCATTTACTGACAATTGCAGTGGAGACAGACTGAAATCTTTCTAGTCAGGAATAAAATTAACCACTTTTGAATAATTTAAAAAATTATTGTTTCTAATTATTCCAAACATAAAGTACAATGCTTTGATATGCTTGGACTTTTGATATTTAAGGCAAGGCATTCTTGGCGCTACATAATTAGATGTTAAATCGGATCCACTTGGTCACTAGCTCAACTGATTCTATGCATAAAAAGTATCACAAATTTAAGGAAAGAAAGAAACACAGAAGTCTTTCTGTGTGCTGTCTAGTTGGCAAAAATAAGCACGAGTTAGAGTTCTTATTGCAATGACATTTATTTATTTTTCATTTTTATCGTTATAAAATACAATACATTGATTAGAAATAGTTACTTTAAGACCCTGGGAGCACATGTAATTTAGATGATAAAAAGAAATGTAGGTTGCATATAAAGCAAGTGGGAAAATTTTTCCAAGTAAAGGGGATGGCCTCCAAAAATGGAGAATAAAAAAATCCCTAATCTTCACAAATACATTAAAGAAATATTTAACTTAAGTAGGATTCTTCTCTGGTTTCTGACTAGATGGAATATTCAAAGTAAATTTGTTGATAGGTCATATATTTAGATGTAGGAGGTTTTAAAGACCCTATTTTTCTTTCCTCATCACAATTATACAACTTGAAATAGAAATGGTAAACTGCATTTGAAAACTAGCAAGGACTATATTTTTGGCGGAATGATGGCGTATGAAAAAAATTTCTTTTCTGCCTCTAACAATTATTATAGAACATTGAATTTAGGTATATTTTTTAGGCAATCAAAGACTAGACGAAATTTTCAAATGTAAGTAAAATTGATAATAAGGGACTGAAGTTCAAAACATATCAAATAAATAAGATTTTTCACACATACTAGAACTATGATTGCTTTTAAATGCTTCAAATCCAAGTACAGATTTGAGCCAAAAATCCGTAAAAAGTGTTATTTCTCTCTTAGTAAACGATCAAAACTATTTGTTTTTGTATCATTTTGTACCTTTATGTACCAACTTTACTATATGTGAAAATTTGAAAAATTTGAATATAGGAAACATATAAAAAAAAAAGCTAATAAATCCTAAAAATTTAAGAAAAATAGAGGAAATTCGGATTAGTAAATATCCATTTTAATTATCCATGTCAATTTGGTAATATAATCTTATAGGCCCTATACGGTAGTATCTTTTTAAGCAAAAATAAAAAAAAATAATCTTTTGAATTACAAGTAGGGATTGCATTATTGGAAACAGTAATTTTTAGCTCTACTTATCAGAGACCAGAAAGGCTTATGCGATTGTAATGCGTTTGTCGTCTGTCCGTCTAGCTGTCTAGCTGTCCGTCTGTCTGTAAACATTTTTTTAAAACACTACTCCTCCTACAGTTTTGATCTGATTTTAATATAACTTGGCACACAAGTAGACTACACATAGATACATAAAAGAGCGCATTGGTTTTTGATTTCGATGCACGGTGTTGCCATGGTTACTAAAAATAGAATTTTAAGTGAAAATTCTTTTAAATGCTACTCCTCCTACAGTTTTGATCTGATTTCAATATAAGTTGGCACACAAGTAGACTACACTTAGATACATTAAACAATACATCGGTTTTTATTTCAATGAACCATGTTGCCATGGTGACTAAAAATAGAATTTTAAGTAAAATTCCGTTGAAACGCTACTCCTTTTACAGTTTTGGACTGATTTCAATATAACTTGGCATACAAGTAGACTACACTAAGATACATAGGATATTTTATCGGTTTTTTATTTCGATTAACAGTGTTGCCATGGTTACTAAAAATAGAATTTTCTGTGAAATTCCTTTAAAACACTACTTGTCCTAAAATTTTTGTCTGATTTCAATATAACTTGGCACACAAGTAGACTACACTAAGATACATAAAATAGTGCATCGGTTTTTGATTTTAATGAGCAAGGTTGTCATTATTAATAAAAATAGAAATGTCTATGAAATTCCTTTAAAACGCTACTCCTTCTACAGTTTTGGTCTGATGGCAATGGCTTCTTTTCTCATCTTATGTTATAAGTACACACCAGTAGAGCTACAATCTCGACAAAAACTTCTGTTTGAATGTTACGGTCAGACGATTCCTCAAAAATATATAATTTTTCTGAAGATATTGTCATTGAAGAATTGGTACCTAAAACAAGATTCCTCGCAAAAAATAAAGGTACCTTACCAGCCATTTGGAAAGATACCAAAGATTCATATTTCTTATATAATCCTTATGGGCAATCTTCTGAATGGCCTATCTCACCATTTTTTGGTGTACATATATTTAGAAACATTTTGAAAACAATATAGAAATCAGAAGAGATTGCCAAATGTGAATTTTTTTTTTATCTTATTCAAAGAGATACAAAACATTATTAAGGAACGTGTCGTCTGACCTTAATGTCCAGAAAAAAAGGTAATGACCTTGACCTGATCTTGCCTCTAATATTAAGCCGTCAAATTTAATCTCACTGATACCATCACTTAGTAATATTGTCCTCTTGATTCTGTGAAAATTTCATTAATTTTTATATACAAGAAATGTGAGGAGAATCCTACCGTAACCAATATAAAATATTTATTAATGTAAATAACCCCCTCCACATCCCATCCCGACGCTTACAAACATACTTTGTCTCATTACTTCTCCTTAAATTGAAAACTTCCATTTAACTGCAGCGTAGTTTCATCGGCTTTTTTTAAAAATTATTTTGATGAGATAGTCGGTGATGCTACAATGGGCGACAAACTGAAGTGAAGAGGGTATTTTTTCACGGCTGGCGAAAAAAAAGAACATATCCTTAAAAAAATACTACAGTAAATTATATTGGACTTTAATTAACAATAGTAAAGACTTTGAAACTTTGATGTAATTATGTTTTGATTCCTATTCTTAATATTTCATTATATTTCAAGGTTAAGATTCGGAAAAAGGTTCCAAAATTTTTTTAGGAACAGGACCATTTCTCTAAAAGAATAATGTACAAGAAATGAATACTAATACATGCATAAATATAGAGGGTCTCTCTCGTACCGAAAAAAGAACTATTCATTAATACAGAAATTAAGTATCTTAGTGTAGTCTACTTGTGTGCCAAGTTATATTCAAATCAGACCAAAACTGCAGGAGAAGTAGCATTTTGAAAAATTGTTTACAGACAGACGGGCAAATATACTACAATTAAGTATGCGTCATTTAGAATTTAATAACATCAGCTTCATCAACTTCATTCGACATGTTTTTTTATAATTTGATAATTACATAAATGTACTAGTTTTCAAAATTGATTCTAAAATAATCATGCCACAGTAATGTATTCAAGTAAAAGTGATAACAAATAAAGGATAAATGAACCTTTTTCTCAAAATAATATATTATTCAATGTATTGCATTCATTTGTATTCTTTGTGTTTTATATACCTAAATATAAATTGTCAATATTGATGTCCCTCTTTTCCGAAATTTGGAGAAACGAAGCAGATTAAAAACAATTATAGTGAAAATTATAAATTTATTTCTCGATACGTATATCTGAAACGTTAACAGTGACATATGTTAAGCTGTATCAAATCTAAAATACAAAGTTTGGAATATTTGAATATATTCTTTATATTTTAGGTTGAGTATTAAATCATTGTATCAAATTCAAGGGAATTTAATTGCTTGTTTCCTTCTGTATTTTCAGTAAAAAAAAAATGGTTCTTTTAAAAAGATTTGACTATCATTTTATTCATCCCTTTGTTTGTATCTCTATCTTCCAGCTATCTGACTGTCTGTCTCTTAAACATCCGGGGCTTAAAGACGTTCCCTTGACTAGATAGAAAACACAGTAAAGCTTCAATAATTACCATTTTTATAGCACAAGGGCATGTATAAATATTTTGACAAGTGATATCTTATTGTTCAGGAAAGGTGGATGTGTGTTTCTATGAGATATTACAAGCGATTTCTAAATTTTATATCATTAAGGGTGGCAACTGCAACGCTTAATGATACACAAGTGTGTATCATTAAGCGTCGAATATGTCGATATTTGCTTGTTTCATTAAGCGTCGGTGTTGCACTGCATTTGTGACGCTTAATGATATAATTCTGTCATTAAGCGGCGATTTAGCATTAGCGGTTGATAATGTCAGCTGTTAATGCAATAATTTATGGCATTAAGCGTTGCAATTGCAACGCTTAATGCTGTTTGTATCATTAAGCGGCGTTTTATCATTAGAGGTTGCTACAATGCAATTTTGATCTTTTTTAGATAAATGTGCATGGGTATATATTGGTAGAAAAATCTACATGTTTCAAATGCAACGTAGAGTAGTGTGTACAAGAAAAAAAGTACAGTAAAATTTATCTAATCCGGACTCTGAGTACTCCGGACTTTTGTCCATTCCGTCCGTAAATTTTAGTCCCATGCACTTCTTTAACAAATTCATTTTAAAAAATTCTGTGTAGTCCGGATACTGTCTATTCTGTATTCCGAAAGGCGACACAGGTCCCAACTGATCATAATTAACGGTAATTATTCCCTCTAATCCGGCCACACCTGAGTTACTTTAAAGCAATTAACACCTTTCGTGGGGAATGTGATAATCTGTGTTTACATTAGCATGATTATTAGTGCCATGAGACGAAATCAGTGAAATGCGGCGGTGACACAGTCCACTTGAAAAATATATTATATGATTAAATTACAATTAAAAAAAATTAACTTTGTTTTAACTCCTTTTACCACATTATAACATAAACACAAAAATATATGTACGCGATTTACAAATCAAAATATAAATCGGGATCGAAAATCGAACGCATTTGTAAATGGCGCCATAACACTGTTGAGGAAGGCGTAATTTTTTACATAAAATTAAAAGTTCAATCTAATAATTAGCACATCGTAAATAATTGTGCATTACTGTTAATACATTGAATGAGGTCTTTGACAAGCGAAACCCGGTCCGCTTGATACATAGTAGGCCTACATTATGCATGCCTGTATATTTTGATTGAGGTAACATTTCATCCGACTTTCAAACTTCGTGAACAAATAAGAAAATACAGTAAGTCATGTGAGAATATCTTATAATTTCTACACTCCTAAATTAGTAATTGATTTCATCATTTAATTTTATTTATAATATGTATATGATGTACTTGTAAATAAACAACGAAAATTTTCGAAATTTATATTTTCCTGCATTTTTCCTGCACTCCGGATTCTGTCTAATCCGGCCAAATTTTATGGAACCGGCGGTAGCCGGATTGGACAAATTATACTGTAGTAGAAAAAAAACAATACTAGAGTATTCCATATATTAACTTCACCTAACATTTTTGATTTTAATAAACAACAATTATTCAGAGAATATTATTATTCGTTCTAAATAGGCCATTACTGTTAAATTATGTAGTTAGGAATTGAATAAAAGACATTAAAGGCTGTATGACGACATCGTTTTCATTTCCGAACTTCCGTCGTTGAAAATTGAAAAAAAAAAATCCAGATTACAATTTGTAACCTCCAAGTTTCGCTATCTGTAGGAGGTTCAAATGTAAAAAAAATCCTGTGATAGGTTTGTCTTACATTTTTCTACGTTTTCACATATCCAAGCTGACTTAAAATTAGTGGAATTATGGTTCTCCGGATTGAAATTGTACGGTAATTAATTATTTTGTGTTTGAAGTGTTATTTACTATCAAACCACCATGTCGTTACCCTCACTACCCTGTTTTTCCATCATGATAAATACATCAACATTGAAAACTGCTCATTAATATGATTGGTTTTTTTTAAAGTTATCTATCGAAAAAATTACCAATTATAAGCACACTTTGTAAATAGAGTGACGTGCTTCACCTATTTTTTATGGTGAAAACACAGAATAAATGTATGTGTAATTTGCTTTATCAGTGATAATGATTTCTCAGACATGAATCGTGGTTTTCTTACTTTTTCCTGAGTGTATTGAAATAATTATTAAGCAAGCCTAAGAATCAAGAATATAAAATGATTTAACTAATAAACATTATCAATCTTCTTGTATGCATTATAAGAGCTTCTTATAAAAAAAGTTATGTATTTTGATACGGTTAACCATCTTACGGCTAGCCGACTAGCAATTCTGTATTCGATTGCCATCCCTACTAAGTAATATTAAAATATCCCCATTTATTACTCGTTATGTCTTATACTGTTCTACTCCAAACAAATATTTTCGTTTGAAATGAAACTTCTTTTGATATGAAGTGTCGCTATCAATGTCAATAGTATTGATCATTTCACTTCCAGAAGACAGGATAAGGAATGTTCCACCAACAGACATGATCAATGGGGCAAGATTTAGTACTTATGACAGGGATAACGACCAAGCCAACACGTTGAGTTGTGCTGCTAAACACCAGGGAGGATGGTGGAACAATTATTGCCATGATGTGTACCTTAATGGTCCGTATGGCTCTGCTGAGTGGCCTCAACCTTGGTTTCCACTCTTATCTGATGGATCTAACATTACCAATACAAGAATGATGATCAGGAATGAAAAAAAGTCATAATATAAAGTTTGTCAGCGAGGATTCCCTCAAAAGCACTGTCTATGCATGCGATTTATTCTTAATTGATGTGAATCTTCCAGAATGTTAAAAAGTTCAATTTACCTCTGCTGTTGAGGCATATTTCTTTTCTGTGTTATACATTATTATTTAAAAGGTTTTGCTTCAGACATTTCGTTGCACAAGTAAGTACTGCTGAGAGGTCATAGTTACGTACTAAGTAAACCATTTTCTGAAAAAAGAATAGAAAACAACTAGACTTCACTTATGATAAATTACGGGGAAACAACAGTCTGTGGTCTATAACAGCATGTTAAATTTTTTTTAAAACCTTCCCAATGGTCATGTCTCTTTTTGATTGTTGGCTTCAACATTTGTAATTGCATTTTCCCCGAAAACGCATTAAAAATGGATTCGATCATTCTTGTTCTATGCATTGTTCTTTGTTATCTCAAATTCTTTTCGTTCTGTATTAGCCCTGTATACATTATTGTGTTTGCTAATTTTTTCTGTATCTAAA